TTGGATGAGATAGGGAAGAGAGAGAAGATGTGAGAAGGAGAGCATGCGTGCAGCTGGAGGAATAATATACGGAGTAATATTTATGGGAAGGGTAAAGTAGGAATGCTAACTCCTACTTACGGAATTTAAAAAATCTGGTCCTATTCTTGCATTAATCTAATGTTTCACTCCTATTCTAGACAAATTCTTGTATATTATTGATCAATTTGAGACAGAGGAAGTATTATACTATTAAGGCAATTAAGCTCAAACTAGTAAAAAGGAATAGTTATCATACCCAAGGAGTAAAAGGGCAAAAATAAGTGGATATTTTTTATTCCATCCAGTTGAATTGATCGAAACAAGGTGATCGATCATATCATCAAGTTAACTTGAAAATGTTAGATCTATCAACCGTGTGAATTTCAACCGTATGAGTGTTTTATTAAGACCTTTCTGTAATTAAACACTCAAACATTGCAGCCGCTAGGCATACAAACTTAATTAAAATCAGCAAGTCTAAAAAGTGCTTTTAATTTTATGCACAAATATTCACTAAAGCAGAACAAATCCAAATAAAAGTGAGAATTTCTAAGTAACTTTAGTTATCGAACACATCCAAAAATGTGTATGGAGATCGAATAGGAGATCCAGCAGGAAGTTCCACAATTCCCCCAGGTTTAATTACCGATCAAGAAGATTCTCAACGTCTGATCTGAGGGTTATTTTTAGGGGTCGGCGTGGTCCGGTCCGGTCCAATATTTTACTGAACCCATATCCGGACCGCTACTATTGAAACGATTTGGTTCGGTTCGGTCTTAGACCTAAACCCGTACGCTTCGGATCCATTTTCAAACGGTCCGTTACCATGTCATACCAATGCCAAACAATACCACTTTTTTCGATAAATTAAAACTTAGTCATCATCCAAAAATCCACACAATTATCAATTTTCATACTACCTCCGTTGTAAAAAACTTTTTCATTTCAAAAAATTTGAACCATGATTTTGATTAGTATAGTATTATGGAAGTTATAAATTTTATACTTTTATGAAAGTATTTTTAACAAAGAACATTTTCATATAATTTTTATATTATAAATAATTCTCAATAAAAAAATATAATTGGTCAATGTTTTGAAAATGGAAAAGTTTTTTGGGACAGAGGTAGTATTACATAGTTAATGAATTTCTTATAAACTATAATAGCACAAAACATAAATAACTAGCAATAACATAGTTAATGAATTTCATATAATACTATTCATTTTTATCGATCCAGTTAAGTAGCAATTAGCAAAATGCAAATGAGTAATCAAAGTAATGGTAATATGGTATACATGTATATATAATTAAAAAATTATATAAATTAATAAAATTATAATTCGGTTCGGTTCGGTCCGGTACCGGTTCTCATTTTATGAGAATTGGTCATGGCATGGTTTGGAATCAATCTGGTCCGGTTCGGGACAAATTTTTTGAGAACCGTTTGAAATCCCGTTTTCCGGTCCGGTACCATACCAGTCGGTTCGGTTCGGTACCATGCCGGTTCAGTTATTTTGCCCACCCCTAGTTATTTTGACTTTCTAAGTACTCCCCCCGTCCCGTAAAATAGTTTCCGGTTTCCTTTTTTGATCGTCCCAAAAAAGCTTCCATTTCCCGTTTTGTAAAGTTTTGTGTGGCTACCATTCATTTACCTTTTTCTTACTCAACCACAACCATACATTTCTACTTTATTTCCACTTTCTTAAACTCTAATCCAAATCCTAGTGGGAACTACTCTCTCCATCCAAAGGTTGTCCAAAGTTGACTTTCACGTGGATTAATAAAGTAAAATATGTGTGGTTCAAATTTGTGCAGAGGAAAGAGAATTAATTTTAGCCACATATTCCTTACTTTAAATGGAAATGACAAATCTTTTTGGGATATTCAAAAAAAGAAAATTTGATCAAACTTTTCGGGACGGAGGGAATATTTTATGAGGCAAAATTGGAAGAATTGATCATGAATTAGTGTCTAGTGATCATTGAATTCTCATTCATAGTCACAACGCAGTCGATATACAAAAACTATCCTACGTAATCCGGCATAGAATATTGTGACACATTTTAACTACTAAGTATCACTATACAGTGGTCAATATAGTTTTTACATCAATGTAGGCATAGTGATATACTCTCTCCGTATCTATTTACTTGTCACACTTTCCTTTTTTGGTGTATCAAATTAATTGTCTTCTTTCCTTTTTTGGAAAGAATCTCACTCAAAAAGGAGCTACAGTACCACTACAGTACCGCTACAGTACAAAAAATCCCCTACTTTTTATAAAATCTACAGTAATTATCTCAAACTTCGTGAAAAGCAAACGGGTCATCTAATTAGATACGAAGAGAGTAGTTTTTAATACACCAATCTAGGGCATAGTGATATAGTTTTTACACCAATCTAGGGCATAGTGATATACTTTTTGTACGCTTTCAAAAGTGTCACTATATACTCAAGGGTGTAGTTAGGGCTATATATCGAGTTCAACTGATACAAAGATTTTGTTGATTTTTTTACATGAATTTTCCACCCTACTAATTCAAAAAAATTGAAAGCAAAAAATGATACGGAATAAATTTTAGAGCATGGAAGGGGTAGTAAAATACACAAAATATTAAACTTTACCAGACAAAATCAGGATAGTTTAGCTCAGACATAAACTTACAAGCTCAGGTCCTGTATTTATATAGATAGACCAGGTCATACCATATTAGATGAGAGTAGGCTTAAAACTTTAAATTTAAATGATACGTAAGTTATGGCAAAAATAAAAATAGGACATCTTATGTTTTTATTTCAAAATAGAACCATACTAGTCCTATTGGAAACATACCTATTTTTTCATTCCATTCTTACCCCTTCTTTAAATATGAGTGAAAGGTAGTCAAAAGTCATAATTAAATGTTTTAATCCATAATAAATTCGTAAAAAATAATAAAAATCGTAGAAAAATAATAAAAAATTAATAAAATATTTATAAAAAAAACTATTTTTTTTTTAAAAAAATTAATAAAAATAGTAAAAATCCATAAAACAAATTAAAAAAATATGGATGCCTTTGCCAGCGCCTGTATTGCCCTCCTGCACCACCGCCTCTGACCGGTGTAAAAAAATGCCATTTTTTCTAAAGAAAATGCCATTTTTTATGAAAATGTCAAAACAATGGCATATTACTCTTTGTGAATGCCAAAGTTTTCATTGAATATGCCATGAATATGGCATTCCTAATGTGTGTGACATTTCCCCCCGGTGACCAGAGGTGGTGGTACTGGGGCGGCAGAGGCGGCGCTGATTTTTGTTTTGCATTATTTTTTTTTTATTTTTTTAAATATTTTTATTAAATATTTTTTTTTAAATATTTTTATTATTTTTTTAGTATTTTTACGAATTTTTATAATTTATTATGAATTAAAAGATTTCAATAGCTACAACGGTATATTTGTCCAACACACATAATTAGTCCGATGAAACATAGTTTATTTTTTTGTCCTTATTGTGCAAAGTGACCGACTTTTAATCCTATTTTGATCATTAGCCATATACATTTTTCACTATATTCATGCATGTGCGTCATGCATGTGCGTCAAGTATCAGTTACTCAAAGTTATCTTACATTTCATCATTCAATATATGTGTGCCACAAATGGTTGTAGGAGAAAAATATACTACCTCCGTCTCTTAAAACTTTGTCAAAGTTGACCGGCACAGAGAATAACAAAGTAAAAACTGTGTGGTTGAGGTTTGTGCAGAGAAGAGCGAGAGAAATAACAGAAACCAAAAAATAATTGATTAAAAGGGAAAGTGACAAAAATTTTTGGAACGTCTTAAAAAGAAAAGATGTCAAGGTGTAAAGGGACAGAGGGAGTATATAGTTAAGAATTGTGCATTTAGCTGTACTAGTTGTTGAATAATTATTCCGGAATAATAATATCACAACTTATGTACTCCGTATATAAGACCTGCAACTTATTAATGACAATAAGTGTCACAATAATGTGTAATTTAGAATAAAAAAATTTATATTCAAAAAGTTACAATAAACGCTCTTTAATTAAGGTATCAAAATTAGAACTTGAATTTCATAAAAAGTTGAATCAGATGGTTAGAGAATAAAATTCTGTCTAGTCTAGAACTAATTAACAAGACAGTTAGAGAACCCTGCAGGACTGCAACATGTTGAAACAAGCAAGTATATCCAGTCATATAAAACCAATTCCATGGCCAATCATATAAAATATAATTAAACAAGAAGATTGAAGTAAGACACAATTATGGAGTTATGATGAGACATATCAGAACTGCAAATCTGTTAATTCATCTGCCATTCGCATGTATCAGCTCATCAGTCAGCTCATATACATATTTCAAGAATGAATTCACATTGCAGGTTAGAAGAAGAAACAATACAACACAAATAAAAACACACAAAAAAGAACATACCAATATAATTACTATTGATGATCATTGATCAATATATATGAGAAATATTAATAACCATAGAAACTAGAGAATTTGGGTAGCTATATACGTATTGCAGTATATACGTAGTATTAAATAATTTTATATAAGCATATATATAGTTTGAAATTTAATTTTTCCAAAAAAAAAACATTAAGCAATTTTATACAAATACCTGCTAGTGAGCCCACTGGATCGAAGCCGCAGCAGGAAAAAGCTGAGATAAAAGGAGCAATTGGATCAACCACCAGCGCAGCTATCAGAGGCAGTAAATACATTACAAAAAGCCACTGCGTGTGTAAAAAGATAGGCGCTTTCTCCGCCTATTTGCTTCTTCCATCACATTCTATTGCAACAAACCAGTCAGATAATCCAAGCGTTTATTTCTATACATACTCTAAGGAAATTGTGAATTAATAACATATTGTACATCTTGATTTTACATATTTCCATTTTTTTTTGTATTAATAAAAATCCAATTAAACAACAATTTAAGTTAATTGGAGGCAATAATCCGCCGGCAATGTATGTAATTCAAGAAATGTGAATTGCAGACACACTTGAAGTTAAATACAAATTTAGAGTGTATATTGAGTAGTGTTATAATTATAATTATATATAATGTGTAGTAATATAAAAGGGCTTAATTTATACACGAATTTATAGAATTGTAATAATAATAATAGAAATGTCACAAATTAATTATCATCCGATCGATCAGATATCCAAATCTAGCGACATGGAGACGGAGGACGGCGACTCGAGGGGCTTATTATTATCATCAGCTTGCGGTTCTGGAGCATCATCGCCGTAGTAGCCGCTGCGGCACGGCCATAATTGAAGGGAAGTACCCGGAATTGTGGTTGTTGATGTGGTGTGGGAATTAGGGGAAGTGGCGGCGGAGGAAGAATCGTCGGGAAAGGCGTCGGAAATAGGGCAGTCCATGTTCACCCCGAACAGCCTCAGCCGCTTTGCTGCTGCCTTGCCTTGGACCACCGGCACCGAATCAAACACCACCCCACCACCACCACAACCTCCTATTCTTTGCATCATTTCTTGCTGGCTCCCGGCGGTGATAATCGGTCTGAGATAAATCCCTGATGATGATATTCCCGAGCAAGGGTTTCCATTCACCACCACATCACCGCCGATCGGACCTCCAACGCCGTTGAAGATTACGGAACCGTGGGCGGTGGGGGTATTCCCGCGGAACCCATAACTGCTGTAACCGTAGGAAGGCTGCAGGGGGGAGAACAACGCCTGAGGGTTCCAAGCCGCCGCAGCCGCAGCGGGGTAGTGGTGTTGATGATGAATGGCGGAGCGCTGGAGGGAGGAGAGGTGGTGGGGGAAGGAGACCACTGGAGGAATATGATGGTGGCGGTGATGATGGAGGTGGTGGTGGTGGTCGGAGGAGTACTGGGAGTCCGGGCGGCGCCTCCAGTCGATGAAAAGCCGATCTTTCGCGGACTCGGAAGCGCCACGCTGGAAAGAAACGACGTCGCCCGCGTCGAGCTTCTTCTCCTTGACGAACCGGCTCCAGCCTTTCGTCATCACATAGCTTTGGCTGCTGTTCCAATAAGAGTACCGGAACCGCCACGGCTTGCCGTTCCGGTCCTCGAAGTTGAGGAGAAGCCCCTTCTCGTTGTTGGAGGAGTCTAACGGGAAATACTTCTCGGCGTGCTGCTTAGGAATCACCAGCCGGTTCAGCTTCCCCACATCGCTCGGCGTCACCACCTTATCAAACATGTGTTCTTTCTCCATCGCCACCCCGGCGCCGCCGCTACTACCCGCCACAGCCGCCGTGTCATTCACTTCGCCAGCATGATTACCGGTAGGAGAATCAATCACCATCTTCAGAATAACATCTTCCCCGTCCCCTCGGCCGCTTTCGCTGTCTAGCCAAACCCTCTGCTGATGCTGACGGCCGCCGCCATAAGAGAAAGAAGACGGCGGTAGAGAAAATGGGTGCATAGCTATCTAGCTAGCTGGATCTTAGCTGGAAGATGAAGAAATTGAAGAATTGGAGGTGAAACTTAAGTGATCATCACTTGCCAATCAATATAGCATAGCATGCTGCTAGATCTACAAAGGGGCAGCATAATTTTCCATAGCTAGGGTTTGGAGTACAAAGAGAGAGTTGGGAGTTTTTCTGGTTTTCAATCAATTCGGATCTCAAACCTAATTATGCCTAAAGGTATATAGCGCAGTGAGGTGAAGGTGGAACCTAATACGAGTATTTATTACTCCATAAATAATAAGGTAAATAGAAATTGCTCTTGAAATTCCAAAATAGGAGTATCATATTTTTTGTTTCCTGAATAGGAGTATTCTGTCAAGTTTTGAAAAAAATGTCATGTTTTCAAGTCTAGTAATGCTAAATTTGGCAGAACTTTCCTCTTATTCAAGGAATAAAAAACATGATATTCCTATTTTGGAATTTCAAAACTATACTCAATATATTACCCACTACTTCCTCCGCCCAATATATATATGTATACTCAATACAATATATACTCGATATATGTACTAGTATCATTTTACCTTTTCATCCTATTAACATTGTTTCATACTAAATTTGGTAAAATTTGTGAAACTTTAAATAATTTATACTTTATTAATATTTTATCAATTCAATATCAATCAAATAAATTTACTTTTCTTAATAATTGTATCATTTTCTCTTGTCTCAATGCTAGTGTAGCTTAGTATCTCTTTCCGTTAGAACTTTGCATATTTGACTCAAGTCTTTAAAGCTAAGTTTGCACTATAATTTTCAAGTCATTGGTAAAATTGATGATATTCATATCATTTTTTATGTTGTACACAATTCCTTATAAAAATATAGAATTTATCAAATTTGAACATGGTTGATCAAAAAAATCAAACATCACAAAATTTTGAGGAACGGATGGAGGAGTACGTAGAAACATACTACATCCATCTTTTTAATTGCACAACTTGACTTTTAACTATAATTATATTTTATTACATATTAATAAATTAATAAGTATTACTACCTCTTTTCCAAAAATATTGGCCAATTTGAATTTTGTTGATCAATGGTGTTGAAACGTGGACAATAATTTTAGGTACTATATTTTTATGTAATTTATAAGTTTTATACTTTTACGAAAGATTTTTTAACAAAGAATATGATCATATAATATTCAAATTTAAAATAATTTTATATTAAAAAAATATCATTGATCAAACTTGAACACCATTGAATGATAAAGTTGATTATTATATACTATAATATTAGTAAGAAATTATGGTCAAAGTAAGGTGTTTGAATAGTGTAAAAGTCAAAGTGTTGCAACAATTAAATTTTACATTATTCAAGCTTTCTACTTTGACTATATTTTATTAATTAATATATTACATTACATTGTACAGATTTATATTTCAAACAAATATTACTAAGTTTGTCTCATTTTAGATTTTAAAATCTGATTTTTTTATGTTTATTAATAACGAATTTAATATATTAAGGGAAATTGCCGTAATTATGAGTAAACAGGTTTCAGAACCTCAAATTATCTATGCTACATTTTTCTTTCTGAAATATGGGGTCGTTAATGTCACGAACTAAAATTACTATCATTAGGCAGTAAATAATGTCATGTGGTAGTGCCTAGTATTGCAACTACGGAGTATTTGGCAATATGACCCCAAGATTACAGTAAATATTATCATGTTACTCATATTTTGAGGAGAAAACATAACAATTATATTTTGGAATCTCAAAACCTATTTATTTTTATTCTGGAAACTTTTTCATATATTAATGGTGAAATTTATTCATTGTAGAATGGAAAAATTGCAAATAAAAAAATAAGGAAGCATTTACTAATAAAATAAACTAAAATGGCCGCTTCCAATCCACTAGATGTGTAGATGTACGTTTGAGAAAGGTAACTATATGTCCCGTTTGGTTCATTCGTTTCATTTTCTGTTTCTCAGTACACTCCAAAAAATGAAACAAAACACTGTTTTAGTTCTTTCTCCCTATACTATGCTTCCTCCATCTCTAATTGTTGACCTTAATCTATTCCTCGTAGTGTGATGTTCTAAGTGGGCGCCTCTTTGGAATCATCTTAAGTTGGGCAATTTGTATCGAAGTTATTCTCCCTTGATGCATATATGACTATATTCCTTTCCTCTCTTAAAATTTTGCAAAATTTGACTGGCTTAGGGAATAACACGATGAAAATTGTTTGATTAAAGTTTATATAGAAGAAATATAAATAACATGAACTACAAGTTAATTAATTAATTAAAAGGGAATGTATCAAAGTCTTCTAGACAAACAATAAAAGGAAAATGAGTAATAATAAAAGGAAAAAACAATAATTATTTTAATTATTATATTTTTATGTAATTTATAAATTTTAAACTTTTGTGAAAATATTTTTTATAAGGAACATTTGAACATAATTTTCATATTCAAAATAATTGCATGTTAAAAAATATCTATGTGTGTATGTATGTATATGTAGTGTTCATATTGGTGTGGACAGCTAGTGCATATAACACATTGTACGAAATTGTATGGGTCACCTTCAATTCTTTAGCATTACCTAGTAGTATAGGGTGGGTGTGGTACCTGAGGGTGGTCCACGAATTATCTGGTGGGCTCATGTGAATTCTCATCAGCTCAATATATATATACTACGTATGAATCAATTGATATATGAATGAATACTCGCATTCATACATGAATGCATGAGTGGTGATATGTCATAAAACATTATTACAATTAAACGATTAGCAACACAAGAGGGGTGAATTATGTTTATGTGGAATTGTGGCAATTTCTCGCACAGTTCTAGTGTGGGGTAGGGAAATGTGAAATGGAAAATACACAAAGATTTAACGAGGAAAAATCCCTTGGCACAAAGGGATTAAAAAACTTCGACCTCCCTAGGAGGAATTTTGAACAACTTCACTAAAAAGCCTTTTTGTGGTTACAAGGTAAATTCTCCTAATCTACCCTTGAGCCACTCAAACTCTATCCTCTCTAGGAAGAGTTATGCTTCTCTACTTTGCGGGTAGAGAGCCTCTCAGCTTTACAACAAAGCTCTCACACACACGATCCCAACCCGAGGAAGCTACTCTTTAGCTTTTCCTCGAAATCTAGTTATAAGATAAAGAAGGGAAAAAAAACTCTATCTAGAACTTCGTGCGTAGGTTCAGGTGCCTTGAACTTGGTAATATTTTGCAAGTGTTTTTCCTTTTTGATCACTCGGTCAAGCACCCACATTCTTCTCTTGGTCTTCGACTATATATAGGCCACTTTGATTTGTCCGTTGGTGTCTCTTTCTGATACGTTCGTAATTTCCATTTCTATGTTTATGTTTTTAATTAGTTTTGCTTAACTTTTACTTTGGAAATTACACACTTTTGGTGTAATAGATTAGATTGTTAAATTCTTGTAAATAGGTTAGATTAGACATATTCTGAGCTTAAGCAGGTTTTGGTCACCAAAAGTACCGTTGGTGAACCCAAAAAGTGAAGAGAAGGTATAAAAGTTCAAAGACAAAAGAAGATCCTGAATTTTGGTCTATACTCGGTCGAGTATTAGCTATACTCGATCGGGTATTAGGTTGGAACTTCAAATCGGATCAGATCCGAAGACAAAGGAACATGCAGGGAAGATTTTGGCCACGATTCTATGTCTATACCCGATCGGGTAGACCGACATACCCGATCGGGTATGCCTTTAAATTGCAAACGAAGATCGGTCGAGTATAGCCCGAATACCACTTTCTAAGCATACTCGACCGGGTATTCATATATACTCGATCGGGTATACACTTAGAAAATAGCCTGAAACCGGTCGAGTATGCCTCGGATCGGGTGTTACACACATACTCGATCGGGTACCATGTATATACCCGATCGAGTACCCGAATCCCATCCCAAAAACCTATAAATACACCTCCTTTCCTTCACAAAAAGATATCCAATCCCTTGTACATCTAAGCTCAGTATAGAATAGCTCTTTCTTTATATTTTTCATCATGTTTAGTCTCCAAATGAGGAGCTAAACTCTTCCATCTTGGTTTTGCTACTTTGAAGCTTAATGAATTTGTAAGTTGTGAGTTATTTTCTTTAATCTTCTTCCTTGAATATTAATTCTTTCTTTCAAAATACTATCTCTATATCAAAGTTGGGGAGTGTTACTAAGATGACAATTAGTTAACATCTTGACATTGGTTATAGTAATAGCTATTTCTTCCTCTATGATTATATTGGGGAGTGTTGCTAAGATGACAATTAGTTAACATCTTGATATTAATCATAGTAGGATTCATATATTTTAATATTCTTCCTTGAGTATTGATTAATTCCTATTCATATTTCATGTTAATATCTTGAACATTACTTAAAGTATCAACTAGTATTGTTTCTCATATTAATTATTACTAGAATCAATCGGTTAATACGCTTGTTATTAATCCGGTTCTTTCAACGGTAGTAAACTTGGAATATTAATGCATGCATCTCATGGTTAATATGCCAAGGGGAATTAATTATATTGATTAAACCAATAAACCGCTTGTGTTGAGGGTATCAATCTCAATCGTTTTCATCTTAAGTTTATTGCTACTATCAAGTTGATATACGACGCTTGTTCTATATTGACTCGATAGTAAGTTTTATTAATGAACGCATCTCGTTATTAATAACTACCCTCGATGAACTGGATATACTCCTCGATTGAGTATTCGAGAGGAAGATAGTTAAAGATATAACCGGGATCGACGAACATTTCATTAAGTGGATAAAAGCAAAACCAAGTCCCCATCTCATTGAATTAAACTCATATAGGTCGTTTATCTTAGTGTTATTAAACCAAACAAATCTAAACCCCCCTTGTTATTATTTATATAAAAGAAAAGTATTCCTTTCCCTGTGGATACGAACCTTACTGCACTATACTACGTATTTGCGTTGTATTGATTATTTATTTTGAGTGCACCTAACGACTAGTGCACGTCAAATTTGGCGCCGTTGCCGGGGAAAGGCAATTATTTTTCTTTTTATTTTATCCTATAAAAATAAAAAAAAAAAATAATAAAAAAAAATATATAAAGAGTTCTTATTTCTTCTATTTCTGAGCTTAGTGGAGTTTATGGTTAAACATCGCTCCATAAACAAAATCATATATCAAACAAACCCAGAAATAGAACAAACTTTCGAG